ACTGACGCTCGTAAAGTCCCCAACTTGATAAAGGTTTTTGGGGAGTTTTCGAACTTCAACGACAATTTCTTCCAAACTTGTCTTTGTTATGTGATTAAAGTTCCTGATCAGTTCTTTGGTCATGTATCAAGGACAAGTACTCTTTTTTTTTGTTGACTTGAGGGTCTGATCAACTTTCTTGTCTTCAAAAAGATTAGAGTGTTGGAAAAAAATATCTGTTTTATTACAGATTTTTTTTTAACAAAATTAAATAATTAGAATTTTAAAAATTAGAATATACAAGACGTATTTCAAGAATTTTTTTACTTTGAATCGACTTGTAATTTTTTTTAAAAAATTTTGTTTCTTGTCTTCAAAAAGATTAGAGTGTTGGAAAAAAATATCTGTTTTATTACAGATTTTTTTTTAACAAAATTAAATAATTAGAATTTTAAAAATTAGAATATACAAGACGTATTTCAAGAATTTTTTTACTTTGAATCGACTTGTAATTTTTTTTAAAAAATTTTGTTTCTTGTCTTCAAAAAGATTAGAGTGTTGGAAAAAAATATCTGTTTTATTACAGATTTTTTTTTAACAAAATTAAATAATTAGAATTTTAAAAATTAGAATATACAAGACGTATTTCAAGAATTTTTTTACTTTGAATCGACTTGTAATTTTTTTTAAAAAATTTTGATCGGGGTTGATACAACAAAAATTGTATCAAGTCATGCAAAGGATGGTTACCTTTGCAAATATGGCGACACTGTCAAATTGCCGGAAAATCCTGTTAAGTCTATAGTACCGCTCTAGTACCGAAAGGTCTGACTAGTTGCACCATAGAGAAATCTATGGGTATGGTAAGAATCTATGGAATAAGGATAATCGGCAGCCAAGTCCTAAACCATATTTTAAAGATATGGCATGGATGCAGTTCAGAGACTAAATGTCAGTGGGTCATTCATATATGAGAATGGCTTAAGATATAGTCCGCCCCACCCGAGAGGGTGCTCTAGGAAGAAGGAGTCTAACCAGCTCCCCGAGCCTAGAGAGGTCAAATCTCTTTAAGAGATGGATTGACTGGGATAAAGTTTCAAACCCTGGAAACGTTCCCAAATAACTACCTATTTGTTTCCTAATAACATTGTATATATAATAATAATGGCAAAACTTGTAAAACGTAAAAACGTAATAGCTAGACGTGTGAACAAACATCTACCTGTCGTCCTGTTAGGATCAAGATGTCACATACCACCGAGATATCTAAGAAAACCTCCAAAACTTAAAAAACCTCCAGCCCCACTCAAAGATGAACGAGATTGGATCTATCCAAACACATATACGGTACAAGATTTTTTAATGTTTTATAAAGTACTCGATGCTGTAGCTAAAGTTTACGAAAGACCCCCACATAAAGAAGAGAATTACCCTCCTGTAAATAATGAAGATTCTAGTTATCTCTATACACATTTGAAATATATAATTTACAAAGAAAGTAAAACAAAAGGATGCTGCATTTTTTCAAAGTATAAGAAAGGTTCTAGAACTAGAACAGAAAATGTTTGTTTCAGATTACCAATGCCTATTATTAAATGCATTAGAAAACTAAATCTTAATTGGAGAACTGAAATCAAACAACCTTCTGTTCCAGCTACTTGGATTGTATGTTGGTTAAACAGAATTTGGCCAGATACAAGTATAAATCCTTATCAAGGACCATATGTATTGTGCAATTCTTGTAAAAATATTGGATGTCTCAATCCAAAGCATCTCTCCTGGAGAAATTAAACAACAATAAATCTTTTTTTTAAAAAATTTTTAATAAATTAGTTTTCAAGAAATTAATACAATACAAAACCAATAACACTCTAATCGTTTTTTTCTCAGTTAGACTTATCCACCAAATTTAAGAAATCAAATTCTCAAAATTAATTTCTTTTCTAGACAAAAAATCTAGACAGCAAAATCTGTAAAAACTATGTTAATGAGAAATATATTAAATATAATAAGTTCTATCTTTCAATTAAAAGAATGTAATTAACGATAAAAAATTTTTCTCCGACTTGTAATTTTTTTTCAAAATTTTTAAGTAAATAGTTTTCAATAAATAATAAAAAATTTACTATTAATTGTATTAAGTTGTTATTTAATAAAATCAACATATATATAAACAATATATTAGGACACCCGCCACAGTAAATTTTCTTGTATTCTCCTAGAAATGAGTTTTAATTTAGTGTGGAAAAAATAAAAACTTGCGAATTTCGAGAAAACAAAACAATTCCTGGTTCAGGACATGTCCATATGTTAACATTCTACTATCACACATGGGGTTGTAACAGAACTTTTTTGTCATGACTTATAGGGGGGGTATGCATTCAGTTTCACTAATTTTTTTTTTTCCTTGACTCCCGTAACTAATAGGTGCAGCGTTTTCTACTTATAGGAGGGGGCAACCCGAAAATTTTTTTAAAGAGGGGTTGTGGGCCTACTCCAAAATTATAATGTAATGGGGGCCCTTCCACCCCATTACACCTTCCTTCCTTCCCCTGCTCTGTATCTCTATATCCAGAAATCTACAGTCTAGAACCTTCTCTTCTCCTCTTAGTTTATTCATCCATTTTCTCTAACTCTCTCTATTTAAAAAAATTTGACAAAAATTTTTTTTCACCAAGTCGAAAATCCCAGCATATCTACGCTCGTCCCGACTTTGAGAAAAAAATTTGAAAATTTTGAAAATTAAATAAGCTGATTTAAAGTATTACAGAAAATATTACAGTCTCGACCCCCCATATGTTTATCAAAATGTTTCATTCAAATTACTTAAAAACTTGTAAATCAGAAGTTAGACTATTTTTTAGTACTTCTCATCCGCTTAGATTTAATTCAAAGGGCGAGATTCCAGACCATATACATGGGTCTGATGACCCAGGTATTTCCGCCCTTGGATTTTCCATTTTTTTCACTTCTCATCCGCTTAGATTTAATTCAAAGGGCGAGATTCCAGACCATATACATGGGTCTGATGACCCAGGTATTTCCGCCCTTGGATTTTCCATTTTTTTCACTTCTCATCCGCTTAGATTTAATTCAAAGGGCGAGATTCCAGACCATATACATGGGTCTGATGACCCAGGTATTTCCGCCCTTGGATTTTCCATTTTTTTCACTTCTCATCCGCTTAGATTTAATTCAAAGGGCGAGAATAACTACGTGGAATAAGGACGTTGCGGTGGTAGATTTCTCCCTTTTGAAATTTTTGTTTTTTTTCATTTTGGCTAAACTCCGGAGTATAGACGTTGTATTCATATATATCCTCTCAATTTACAAGTTGGTTTGCTTTTTATCCTTCTAGAAAATTTTCGTCTCGACTTAGAAAAAAAAATTTGGCCAAAAAAAAAACTCTAAGTTCCCAGAAAAATGAACGGCTGGTCAGAATGGCGCGGACAAATACTTTGAGATGACTTATCATAGGGGTTCGTGAAACCTCCACGAAGGTCATCACCCGTTTTGATCAGCCGTTAAAAAATTTTGCTCGATTTTTTTGAAAAATTAGGAGACGTTTCCAAGAGAAAGTACGAGACGCTACTATCGCGGACTTATTGCGTCATATTTATTTCAATCTTCTTTTCTCAAAAGGGTTTGAAATAAAAAATGACCAATTTTTCGCTGGAACTCTACGCTTGTACTTTTTTTCTACTTAACAGAATTGGAGTACGCAGGACTTTAATGATAAGGTCACCAAGGTTTGTGGAGTAGGTGCCCGTCATAAAGTCCTAGAGATGCGTGTCGATTTTTGAAACTCAAAATTGCGGGGTTTTATTGGCAAGTTACCAGAGCCACCCTAGGCCTGATGACCCAGCTTTTTTTCCCCTTTTAAATTTTGAAGGCTAGAAACCTGAAAAAAACCTGAAAAAATTGGAGGTGAGATATCATGGTATAGGTCATCAGTTCCAAAAACCAACGGTCCTGGAAATGCGTTTCAATTTATTGACCCCATCTCCAGGAAAATTGGCTTATGAGAATGTGACCCTATACCTTGTGGGATATCAATTTCAATAACCATTTTCAAATCTGCTGTCTGGAAATGTAAAAAAAATTTACCAGGTACTTTCGAATTAGGGGAAATTGACCACATGGACAGCAATATGTATCTATGTGTAATATCAAAAATAATGGAAATTTTCCATTTTATAACGGCTTGGATTTAACCCCTATTGTGATAGTAAAAAGAGGACTTGTGTGGGGGTCCTGATGGAGAAAATTTTAAGATTGGAAAAGTCCATTTTTGAAATTTTCTTCGTCAAATTGGAGTTTGGGGAAATCTTACTATCTGACATGTATTTATATGTCTTCTAGAAAAATGGGGTTTTAAAATCTGTTAAGTAGAAAGTCAAAAATGACCTTTACTAATTGTCCGCGGACAAATTTTGCGACTCAACGGCTGAGAGTTAAGCAAAGTGATCTTCGTCACCAGGTCACGAATATATACTATTTGTGATCTACCCTGCGATTTTAGACTTTCTGATAGAAAGTCGCTGGGGAAAAAAAAAAAAATTCGTTCGAATCCATAGCTCGCACGCAAGGGCGCTTTTTTAGCACTAGCTCCATGAAGACTTGTCGACTAGATTTTTCCCTTTTTTGAATCTATTTTTTTTAAATTTTGGGTTTTTTCACCCCCTACCCAAATCCCTATACTAGGCCCAACGGGTTTTAGGGGGGTGTACCACAGTCCCAGCAAGGGGGTGAAAAAATCCAAAATTTAAAAAAAATAGATTCAAAAAGGGGAAAAATCTAGTCGACAAGTTTGGGGAGCTAGTGCTACTTTGCGTGCGAGCTATGGATTCGAACGAAATACCACAACGGCTCATATTTAACTATGGTCGTGAGCCCGGACAAATGCGGTACCACAAGATATGTCGCCAAATATGAATTTTCGGGTCTTCATTTTATTAATCTAAATTCAAATTGATTAAGCATGACAGGTCCACCTCGTCGGACAAATAAATATGTCGACCAGAATCTTCCCTTTTACTTCTAGCTTTAGCGGTTGGGGAAATTTTCATGGGCCGAGCGTAGTTTCGCTGGGAAAATTTTAAATTTAAATACTTGGATTTATCAAAAATGATCTTCGTAGCATGGTGTCTTATACCATATGTTTCCCGTCTAGAATAAAAAATTTACCCATGTTATAAAATTCGAACGACCCAAAAAATTTAACGAGGCCTTATTTCAAGATTCTTTCCAGCGCGCATATGCTCCAAAGTCATGATTTGTCGTCAAAAATTTTTTTTTGATTTTTGTCAAATTTCGTGAAGGAAACGGAATTTTCAAAAACCTACGCTCAAACAGGGTCCCATACCCCCCATATTAGCCTTCAGAAACAACTCTGGAATTGATGGGGAATTGGATTCGAACGAAATTGCGGATTTTTATTTCCTGAACGGCCATTCAGGAAGGGTAGACACTCAAACAAACAATAATATATAAGTATGTATGTGGTGTAGAATCTTCCCAAAGTCCATTTAGCCCTCTAGAAAATTTTCGTCTCGACTTAGAAAAAAAAATTTTGGGCCAAAAAAAAACTCTAAGTTCCCAGAAAAATGAACGGCTGGTCAGAATGGCGCGGACAAATACTTTGAGATGACTTATCATAGGGGTTCGTGAAACCTCCACGAAGGTCATCACCCGTTTTGATCAGCCGTTAAAAAATTTTGCTCGATTTTTTTGAAAAATTAGGAGACGTTTCCAAGAGAAAGTATGAGACGCTACTATCGCGGACTTATTGCGTCATATTTATTTCAATCTTCTTTTCTCAAAAGGGTTTGAAATAAAAAATGACCAATTTTTCGCTGGAACTCTACGCTTGTACTTTTTTTCTACTTAGTAAAAATATTAAGCGACGGACTTTAATGATAAGGTCACCAAGGTTTGTGGAGTAGGTGCCCGTCATAAAGTCCTAGAGATGCGTGTCGATTTTTGAAACTCAAAATTGCGGGGTTTTATTGGCAAGTTACCAGAGCCACCCTAGGCCTGATGACCCAGCTTTTTTTCCCCTTTTAAATTTTGAAGGCTAGAAACCTGAAAAAAACCTGAAAAAATTGGAGGTGAGATATCATGGTATAGGTCATCAGTTCCAAAAACCAACGGTCCTGGAAATGCGTTTCAATTTATTGACCCCATCTCCAGGAAAATTGGCTTATGAGAATGTGACCCTATACCTTGTGGGATATCAATTTCAATAACCATTTTCAAATCTGCTGTCTGGAAATGTAAAAAAAATTTACCAGGTACTTTCGAATTAGGGGAAATTGACCACATGGACAGCAATATGTATCTATGTGTAATATCAAAAATAATGGAAATTTTCCATTTTATAACGGCTTGGATTTAACCCCTATTGTGATAGTAAAAAGAGGACTTGTGTGGGGGTCCTGATGGAGAAAATTTTAAGATTGGAAAAGTCCATTTTTGAAATTTTCTTCGTCAAATTGGAGTTTGGGGAAATCTTACTATCTGACATGTATTTATATGTCTTCTAGAAAAATGGGGTTTTAAAATCTGTTAAGTAGAAAGTCAAAAATGACCTTTACTAATTGTCCGCGGACAAATTTTGCGACTCAACGGCTGAGAGTTAAGCAAAGTGATCTTCGTCACCAGGTCACGAATATATACTATTTGTGATCTACCCTGCGATTTTAGACTTTCTGATAGAAAGTCGCTGGGGAAAAAAAAAAAAAAAAAATTCGTTCGAATCCATAGCTCGCACGCAAGGGCGCTTTTTTAGC